AGATGTTTTATCCGGAAGAAAATGCATTCAGTTTTATTTGGTCTCCCGGATGAACCCGATTTGTTTTTGGTGAGAAATAGTGAATGCAAATCTTACTTTGTCTGGTGTTGTGCATGAAAAAGTATAACAAATGTCCCCTGGGCATGTTTAGGGTTGTTTCCAATGCGGCCACTGGCTGTGCATTTTGCCTGGTAACATCATCACAGCTTGCAAAGAACAGCAGGGTAGAGCTGTTTTTGTTCAAGTGGGAGCTTGTAGGAATGACTGCAGTTCACTCTGTACTGGATGCATGAGCACAAAAGATGTGGCCTCACTATTCTGCCTCTCAACACCACTTCAATATGGTAGATTCCAAAGCAACACAGGCTCTCCAGTTAAGACATTATGAATTTCGTGGCTAGAATCAATCAGTTCAAGGGTAATGGTCCGCGCTGGTGGCACCGTCTATGTTGTTTTGTCCATGTACATGCACTCCTTCATTAGACGAGTGTTTGGGCCGGGATGTGAGGAGAGAGTGTTATGGTGGAGTTAATTCTATCTCATTCGTGTGGGGGCTGACCCTGCCGGAGCTGCTTGGGCTGCAGTCGATCTGTTCAGCCTGTTCGGGAAGTCGAGGGCCATCTGGTAACATGGCACAGATACAATTCTCTGACTGAATTTTTGGACGAGAACCAGCATGCACACTTGTACACACAAGCACATGTATATGCAATTGGGCAAATTCAATTAATACAGTTGTTCCGTGCTTTATATGATTTGGACAGGGTGGGTAAATGCTCAAAGCTAGTACTATCAACTCTACGTTTTTCTTCTACTTAAGTGTTTTACTATGTAAAGTACTTTTTGCACTGCAACTTTTAGATGTAAACAGTAAAGTGGCATCTTTCACCATTATTTTGTGTCTCCTTGAAAAAAGCATTGTAGGAAATCATATTGTGTGAATAAGACGTCCTTTGGGACTGGATGCTATCTATGTCTAAAAAAACATAACTAACACATAGGCAATATAATGAAGTGCTTGTTCTTGGGTGCCATGTGTGTTTGGGCGTCTCCAAGGACATCTGCTGGTAATTAAAGACGCTCTTGTTGTCTGGATGGAACAATGATGATATAAAGAAATAATGACGAAAAAATAGTCTGGTTTGTCGTACAGCTGAGTGTCACATCAGAGCATTTTAATCATCAGTGATCCATCTCACTTTATACATAAAAACATACTCTGCCACACCTGGACATAAACTATATGATGATAGCGTCATTTTTATAGGCTAATGTAAACTTAATCTTTAAAAGACTAGAAATGCTCAGTTATAAAATATTTCATTTTTCCTACCTCTACCTCCTACCTGTTGCAATAGACTACACGCTGCCATCAAATAAACAATAATTCAACTTTTATACTTTTAAAGTTAACAACTTTAAAAGGACACCTCGCTCGGATGAAGATTTTTAAAATTATTTTAGAGAAAGATTGTGTTCTGGCTTGATATGAAAATGTCAAGTTCCAAGATTTAGTTAGTTAGTATCCAAAAACTGACCTACATTGGAGGGATTTCTGTCGCCTTTAACCTAGCCACACACAGTCTCTGGTCACACAGTATTGTGTTTTGTACACCCACCGTCCACCCTGACCACCCACATGCAACTTCCGGGCAGTACAGGAGTGTGGTGCTTCAAATCATTCCAGCAGAATATAATCCTGGCAGCAAACACGCTTCCCACAAAATGGAACAGAGCATCATTACCCTGACACGAGTTGCTGTCGGTCAAAACATCCAGCGCTCCTTCACTGAGGGGTGAAAAATACCAAACTGCACTTACAATTTGCCGCATATATAGAGTGCAGTCTACTGTAGCTCCCCCTGATGTGTCTGTCACCAGCATTTTCAATGCAAAATGCATGACTCAACACAACAAGTCAACTCGAGAAGGGGGACGCTTCACATTTACCCTGAGGGAAACTAGGCCGTCTTAGATGTGTGTGTGTGTGTGTGTGTTTGTGATTGTGTGTGTCTTTGTGTGTGTGTGTGCTGCCTGTATGTCTGTCTTTCGTTTGGTCGATCATTTCACACTTGGATGAAGTGCAATGGGCATTTGGTATCGACCTGCATGGTCTCCAGAGGACGAAACCTAACTAAACTATGTGATGGATTGTCAGGACATTTTGGTAACACATCAGCATCACAAAGCTCACGTGGGAACTTCTGAAACAACTGGCAATTTGAGTGCAAACATTCATTCATTCAACATCCACAGCAACTTTTCAGATGACAATATTGTCATTGTGACGGTATTAGCCTGCTGACCTTATATTTCAGCTTACTTAATTGAACTTTATTTACAGTTGCGGTGTCTCCACCCCATGAGTCTACAGTTACGTAGTCCCAATTTGAATCATTGTGTAGATGTTCTGTGCAGATCTATCTATTCCATCTACCCCCTCATTATCATCATCACCATCATCATCATCTCAGTCAAAATCCTAATGCGCCTCCTCAATCATCTCCTCCCCCCTTTGTTACTGTCCTCAGCTAAAGATGCAAGTCTGCACGCTCAGAGTTGTTGTAAAGACGCAGCCATGGGGGGCTCTAGACTGTGGCTAAACTCCCAAAAAATATTTCTTCCCTGATGATTTATCATTATGTGTAAAAAGTAGGCAGGAGGAAAGCTACGCAATGTTGGCTGTTAGCATCCAGTGCGAAGCACAGTCCTGCCTTGTTAGGAGGTATTATTATGAGAGGCTACATAGAAATCATTTAACATAATGATTTGTTCAAGCTCCATTATGTAGAAAAGGAGTAATAGGTTGAGGTAAATTAGGAAATGACAATGGTGTGTTCATTCGTTCAAATATAATCCTGCAAACTGTTTAATTTGGGAGGGAGTTAAAAAAAAAAAAACAGTTCTTTGAAGAAAATATTTTCACAGCAATATAAATGATATATGTGACCATCCTAACACAAATACAGGAGTAATACACTGTGTGTATTCTCTCTGTGTGTTTTGTGTTCTTGGCACTTTTGGTAAAATTAACAAAATACTGCAAACACTGAGATAAACAACAGGGGGTGTGGGGTCCTGGGAGGAAAGAGGATTTGTGCATGAGAGCTGCTTCTGCATATTTGACAACCTTTCCTGCAACTATATGCCCCCTAACACACACACACACAGACACACACACACACACACACACACACACACACACACACACACACACACACACACAAATCCACTGTCAAATCCACCCTCCAGGAAAAAGTGAATCTTTTGACAGACATTGCACCTGGTAATATATGTGTAAACCAAGACATAACCTCAAGGGCAATGCACAAACTCCTCAGTAGTTAGGAAAGTTAGCCATCTTTCTCTCACAAACCACCCAGGAGCTCAACCCTCTCATAACAATGCCTGAAGCTGAGAGCCATGGGAACAAATGGCAACAGTTCATCCACGTGTGCCAGTAAACCAGTCGGAGTGTTCACACTGACCTGAGGTGACCCTTAAGCCTTACAAGAGCCAACCGCTGTTCGCAAAGCAGCTGTGGTCTGGCTAAATAACAACTTGTACTGCTGTGACTTTTAAACAGTGTTTAATCAGCCATTAGTTGGGGATCAATTCATGCAGTTTGGCCAGAGCGCTAACTTTATTTCACCTCAAAACTCAATACTTGTAACCCACCGAAGCACGTCTGATAAGCTAGAAGAAGATCGTTCTCTACTAAAGAAATCCTTCAAGCCCTCTTTGTTAGAGGCAAAAAGCTGTGGATTGGAGCCAGAAAACTAATTATATACTCAAAAGGTTTGTTTAGTTTCATTTATTGTGATTATATTAACATATTTTGGCAAGGGGCCTCTTAAATTAGTCCTTTAAGTTGAGCACAGACTCAATGGGAAAATAACAGAAGGATCTTGATTGCATTTCTGTGGTCCAATGCACTTTAATGGAGGCCAGTGACTTTTAAAAAGAAAATGTTATTAAAGAATATTATAGCAACAGAGAGAATATATTCATCCAAGAGGGTACCACTTTTACAACCTGATCCAGCTGTCTAATCTCTCGCTCTCTAAGATACTCTAACAGTAGTGAGTCGAAATTACAAGGCTAAAAAAGAGTAACACAATTTACTAAAGCTTAAAGGATGAAATCAAGCTATCCAAACAGGAAACGTGAAAAATGCAATGTACTTTTTCTCCATTACTGTTTACAGAGACTCCCAAATCGACTTTGACATAACCTACCTACCTCAGTTGGCCTGATTGCCTCGCTGTTTGTGCGAGCGTTTTTTTTTTCATCATTAACCAAAGTCAAAATACTGTCTGAACTTACTGCCCGAACCATCAACCTCAGCTGTACTTTTTTGTTTAGAGTCAAGTAGCAGGTTAAGTTTAGGTTGACTGATATTGTTGGATGGATGGATGGATGGAAGCCTTGGTCTCCTTACAACATATGTAATATTCTTAGTACCCATGTGTCTTGCCCTGCGACTCCCAAACCCAGACCACACAACTACTAAAATAAAAAGACCAAGATGTAGTAAACTGGAATTGTTCTTTAAATGTAAATGGAAAGAATTATTGGACTGCGGTGCTCTTGTTTTATAAGGAAAAATACGCTCTGGAATCCTTTACCTACAAAAGTCAGTTTTTCCCTGTCTCAACACGTAGCCGTCTCAGTTTCCCTGCCAACCTATCAAGATAAGAGTCGCTCTCTTTTGTCTCCGTGGTGGTGGTGCATCGTTGCACTGCCGTGGACTTTGGATGGATCGCGCCGAGTGTGGAAGTGCTGTGAAAGACAAAGCCACGACAGAGAAAACAGGTAACAGCATGTCCAGCGGCCTGAGAGGCTGATGGGAGAGAGGCAGGGGGGCGGGAACGCGGGATGGGGCCCTACCTCCCGTGATCATAGCACTTGGAACCATAGCCACCATGGTGGGTGGTCGTGGTTGGTGGTGGTGGTGAGGGTTTTATAAGGACACACAGAACATGCTTAAAACTCTGTACCTTTCAGTGTGCCTTGAGAGAGGGCCCAACTCACCCCAGGAACCAATAAATCTAGAGGAATGAGACCGTGTTAGTCAGACAGAGGCAGAAGAAAGTTAGGAAGGAAGGTTGACTGAGTTTGAAACAGGAGAGAGTCAAAGAGAGAGAAAGAGGGAAAGAGGGATGGAGTAAGGCCAGAAGGAAGCGATGACAGATTAAGCTGGTTTATGTTCCTATGTGTTTATCTTTCCAGTGATTCTGAGTCCAGTTCTTTGGATTAACACTTTTTTGTTTTGTAACAACCAGGAAGCCCGTAACGTCAAACAGAAGTTCTGAACCAAAGCAGACATCTACAACCACCTTATTAACTGTATTTATCTAACCTGTATAAATGCACCAGTAAGCGGACTATTTCTATACGCAACCAGTCTTCATGTCTCGCTATTAAACCAACTTCTAGTCGTCTTTTTTGCCCTGAACCCTACTCTGTAGGGAAAAAGGTTTCCTGGCAAAAATACCAAGCCAGAAAACAGAAACAAATTTAAAAAGGTTTTGTGTTCTTTGAAAAACAACAGGGGCCTCAAGATGTACATGTGTTCCACTGAGTGAGCAAGGGTCCGGGAGAGTTTCTCAATTGGTTTGATACCCTTGGCAGACGCCTCCTGGAGAAGGAAGATCCATTTCCATCTGTATTTCTCAAGAGATGAATGTACACATTTCTATTGTCAAATAAAACAAGCATGTCCTAAAGACGGACTTTTAAGAAAACAATAATGTTCACTGCTCCTTGTGGAAATTTAATAAAGTGCCGTTGGATTAAGCGGGTTAAATGCTGCAAGTAACGGCACTAAATCACCAAAAGATCTAATGCATATAGGAGGCAGTGGAAAGTATAAAAACCAAACCAAGCAGTTTGTCACCAACTCCTATACAGCCAAAGGGGAGGGGGGACAGGCAGGGAACTATCGCTAAATCCTACAAACCTCACCCAAATAGAGCTCAGATCTTATCTGCATCTCAGACAAACTACAGGATAAAGTCTTGGTTGTCTTCCAGATTTTAGTCTATCCCTGCCCCCTCGGCTGTACTAAACCGCATGCAGAAGAGGGGAAGGGAGGGGGGTCGTCTCGTTTTCATTTATGGCAATTAAATTATCAACAACTCCCCCTCCCTCTAGCTCTGTATAGCCGCTACCATGCAAGCCCCGTCCGCCAGCAGCTCCCACTGGGCATGCTCGTAGAGGTCATCCCAAGCACCGCGTCTACGGAAGGTCAGGCAAGGTAAGGGAGGAGGGAAGGAAGGGAGGCTAATGCCAGCGGTCAACTGTCCTAGCTCTGCCACCCGGCTGATTATGGAAGCTTTTCTTAAAATCGAACTCGATGAACTGAATGCTGGATTTGAACAAAAGCCTCCACACTCGGTGTGAGAGTCTGCAGAGCCACAATAGGTGACCATCAGACAAAAACTAGCCACAGGGCCTACAAGGAAGGGATGGTCGAGGGAAAAGGGAGGCTTTTACCACAGAGTAGTCTCTGTAGTTGGTGCTAGCTGACTAATTGCGCTCTTCCGAATTCGGCCAAACCAAATGAAGAAGCGAAAGAAAAAGATAAAGGCTCAGGCTCAAATCAAGCAGGACTCAGAAAGATGTGGAAAGACTACCGACCAGCAAGCTCCTTCTCCTTACTCCGTCTCTTTTTCTCCATGCGTTTCAGTCTCTTTTCCTCCCTGAGCTTGGCCTCGGCGGCCTCCTGGTGGCGTCGGCACTTGTGGAAGTTTTCCACCACGACGCCAACGAACATGTTGAGCACAAAGAAGGCCACGATCAGCAGGAAGGAGATGAAGTAGAGCAGCATCCATGGGTTGTGGTTCATGACCGGCTGAAAAGCGCACACAAGACACGAGAGGATTGTGTCGGCATTTCGAGTGGAAACCTCCAATCTAACTTAGAAATAAATGTTACAAAAAATATATATTTTCTTCAACAAAAGTCAATGGATATGGGACTAGAGTGATATAGACTTATTTACCTGTTTGTCAACTCCTACAGCGTCCAGTCCGTTATACATTATGTCAACCCAGCCATCTTTTGATGCCAGAACAAACAGAGACATCAGGGCCTAGGAGAGAGGAAGACGCCGCGTGATAAAAAATACAAACTACTTTTAAATGCTTGAAAAAAACTAATATTCAAGAAGATCAACAAATCATTTATGCAGAGATAACAGCACATCTGAGGCCTCACCTGTCCCAGGTTGTCAAAGTTGTATTTGTGTCTCTCCCATTTGTTTTTGTTCAGCAAACAGTCTGACTTGTTGGTGATGTTCATGATATCATCTCCTACACACACGAAGAACTTCCCTTTGAAGAGCTGGAGAGAAAGGCACAAACTTTACATTTGTTTTACAGTGAACCTCAAAAGAGAAGTGATTCCTAAAAGCCAATTATTCCGTTTGTGGAAAGTTTGGTTTTAGACATTTCTTACAGTTTATCAGTACAGTATATTTCCAGACAATTAACCCTTTCGTTGCTAAAGCGTTTCCAGTGGCAGACCACCATCCTCTTTACTTCAGTGAGACCAACTCGAATTTGAAGTGCAGCTCTGTTACTTTAGTAGCAATGAGAGGCGTCACTGCTTCAGATTCAGGCTGGAGAGAGCAGCAGAAGCACTTTTCCAGAACATGGAACTTCCAGTTGGAAGGTTTTTTCAGTTTTTCCTGTGCTGATGTGTGGGTTGTCGTATGTGTACAGACTTTAAAGCCCTCTGAGGAAAATTTGTAATTTGCAATTTTGGGCTATACAAAATAAAATGAATTGAATTGAAGTTATACCTCGTTTCACAATGTTGTCACATCCAGACCGGGGCTAAACTACAGTAAGCTACCCGGTTGCTGGCTGCATTCAGTATCAGTCAAAAGTTTGGACATCCGTCCTCGTTGAATCGAGAAACCACATTTGTACTGCCAGCACGCTGACGGTTTATCGAGTGAAAACTTCCATTCCAATTTCATGGTATTGTTACTTCTGCATCTGTTTTATGGACATGAACATATTGATGGGCAGGAGCCTGAAGTACACCAAAGCCCAAAGCTTGTTGGCAAGGATTGGTCCTCGGTCCTGTTAGACGTGAACTCTCCATTATGACCTGGCATACATGCATGTGCTGCTGTATGAATTACATTGTGAGGAGTGCATGTGAAAAAAGCATTTGTAATGCTTCGAGTGAAAAACTCAAAGCAAAGGAGAAGGAGAGCGTTACCATGTCATTGCCTCCCAGAGTGCAGTTCATCCACCCCTCTCCTCACCCTCCCCTCTCACCTGTACTCCCAGGATGCCAAAGATAATGAAGAAGGCGCAGCAGATGACCACGATGTTGCCGATGGGCTTCAGCGACGACATCAGAGTCTCCACCACCAGCTTCAGCCCCGGCGCTCTGCTGATCACACTGAAACACAGCGTGTTATTTCATATTAGTGCTTGTGCAGGGTACTGTAAAGGTCACTTGCAGTACAAATGGAGCAGGTACCCCCGCACACACCCTCAGGCCGTCTTCCTGACTGCACACACACTTTCTTAGTTTGTTGATTTACCTGACTGAGCACATCCTCAAACCCTTCAACACAAAACCACCTGTTGGCTTACAGGCTATTGAAGTTATCTATCATTCGCTCCTGCTCTTTAAAAAAAAATTGTTTCTTTCTCTCTCACCAGCCATTAAGCAGAAGACTGATGTAGTGGCAGCGTGGCACCCTGCACGGCACTGCAGCTGAGCTTCTCCAACAGGGTGAAACATCTGCATGAGCCCTCACACACAGACGCACAAACAAGATACTTGGAAGAAAAAGAGAAGAGGAATGCTACGCAGGAAGAGGCTGCTCAGGTGAAATTCAGCTCAGCCTCTATCCAATCGCTCAGTTGAACTTTGTGTTTCGCCCTGAACACACAGCTGGGGACAAGTCAATAGCACATTTAGAGGAATAAGATGACATAATAAAAGGGCCTGGAACAACCAGGGATCAATAGCCCTACGCTTTGTACTGTGGTATTCACTATGGAGCGCACTGGGATGCAGTACCACAGCTGAGCTATAGAGAGTACTAGTGTTCAAGAGCTGCAGCTGCACTTGCCTCCTTATTGGAAGAGATGTAGCTGTGCAGCTTTGAGAACACGTATGCATTGGCTTCCTCAGCGGAGGCAAGGATTGATGTCTGGAGACGACTCGGTTGGAGCAGTTGTGACACATCTCAATACAGGGAACAAGAAACACAAAAGACAGCGCGACACCGGTTGCAGAGGCTTGTGGAATCCTTTTCTTGCTCCTGATCTCTGGCACTTTTCAACATTTTAAGCGGGTGGGTGGCTCCCTAAACAAGTAGAAAAGTTAAAGAAAGAAAAGTGAGAGGAATAAAAGAACTGTCCCTGGAGAATAAAGTTAGAAAGTGAGAAAGGAAAAAGTAAGTGAGGTCGCAGCGTCCATCAACGACAGAAACTCATTGTTTGCAGCTCAGTCTCTCAGATCCCAGATTTCCTCCACGCTTGGGCCCCTGGGCCAACCTCTACACCATTTTTCATCCTGTTCTGCCTTTGAGCTCTGCTCTGACAAACACCCTGACGTGAAAAGGCTTATTAAGGAGGGGGAAACGAGTCTCTCATTCGGAGTCAACACCCTCGGATGATGCAGCGCGTGAGCGACATACACTGCGAAGGGTTCCTCTCCATAAACCACCATTTGCATATAACACAAAAAAAGGATGGAGGATGAGCAGGAGCTGGACAGAGGAAGCCAGGGGGAGAAAAGCTGCCGCCTGGCTTCTCCTCATCGACCTCTCTGCATAATTCGCTTAGCAGCCTCCCTTGTTTTGTGCTCTAGTTGAAGGAACGGAGGGGGATCTTCCGCCGCGATGCACAACACCTCGCACACATGCATCCTCCCTCTCTTTTCTGCGCCGGCACGACCCTCACTCTGAGGAACGAGAACAACAAGTCGGCCCACTAGTGGCAGGCCTGTTTCCACAGTGCAGACACAGGGTGTAATTAGGAGAGGCAGGCAGATGTAAATAGGGAATAAGGGAGCAGGGCCGCTGGTAGGTAGCTGGGATATTGATGGAATAAAAAATGAGGTAGCTTGTCTTTTCTTTAAACTTTGCTTCTAGCACCCCCCCTTATCAATAAACAAACCAGCCGTGACTTTGCGAACACCACAAAGCAGTTTGGATCAGTCCGCCGCGGCAAGTCCAATTAACGGATGTGGCGTCGCGTGGAGGAGTTTCTGGGCTGAAGCCATGCTTTCGATAAGGTATAGCTGCTGTTAGGTAAAGCCTCCCCGGCTGTGGGGCTTTGTGACTGCAGAGGGGTGTGGGTGGGTGTTAGGTGCTGATGCATTATTCTGGGACGAGCGTGCACAAACACACACACCTCCGCAGACCCTCTCTCGGGCCCTGCAATGATGTCATTTTTTTCTCTTAGCGAGAATCACAGATACAAAATCACCTGCTTGCAGCAATTAAACATTAAGCCGGGGTGAACCCTGCGTGCACTGCACCGCCACGGGGGAAAACACTGGGGACAACCCCAATTTAGAGGAACAGACGCAAGCGAAGCGATGTACTACGGCTAGCAGCAAAACATATAACACACATTTAGACACAATGTCATGAAATAAAGTGTTAGTTCCCCGTCATTCAACTCAAGCAATCTGACCAATGGTGGCAGCGGTAGACTAGCAACTGCAAATAATACACCGCCTGCATGTGAGAAACTAAAACAACCCCACTTTCTTATGCCGCAACAGCCCTTCAAGGGCGTAATTGGAATAATGAAAATTGCAAACGTTGTTACAGACATTAAAGCAGTCAAAGACATTATCTTTTTAATGCCACATCCAACATCTACCAGATCGTTTTCAAAGAGAAAACATTTGTTAATGCTATTCTTTTTTTGTCGAGAGACTTTAGGTTGAACTTGATTTGATTGACAAGAAATGAGCCTATTATTACGATTACTATTACATTGTAAGGTAATTAATGTTTTTTCCCTAATTGTCTTATTATGTGTTTTGATAGTAGAGCGTTTCTAGGGAAACAGAAAGCGACCTGTTTGTCTTTGTAACGGCGGTGTTGTAGTTGTAGTATTGACACGCGCAGTATGATGCCTCAGTGACCTCTTTGTGCAAAGAGTCTTCCGATTCCAGCTAAGATGTTTTTTTCTGCAACACACACTTGTCCCAAAAACACCTGCCCCAGCATGCACGTTGTATTGAAGGAAACTAACTAATCCAAAGGTCCAACCGTTTTAATAAAGAGATGAGGTTTGTGCTGTCGAGTTTGGCTCAAGCGCTCGTACAGAAGCTCCCCAAAGGAATGTTGAATCGCTACTTAAAAAGAAACACGGCTTTAATGGAACCCAAGCAATAATTCTTCACTGTGTTGACCAGACTGAATTATCTCTAACGGCGTTTTAAGTACCTGCAGTACACAGCTACCAAGCCATATAACATACCCAGAAGCACATTAATAGCTCAATATGCTGTAGCCTTTAAGGCTGTCCTGCTCCTTTTGGATTGAAAGTTAATAACTACCAACAGTTAATAACGACCATAGGAAATAGAAAATCTATTTATTTTTAACAGCATTGCTTTCACGTAACTCGTCTGCAGCCTCAGCGGAGGAGAGGGCCAAGCAGCCAAGCTCGGCTTATTGCTCTTTCTATTCCCGTCCTCTCCCGTTTCATCCTCGCTCACTCTCTGCTTGTCTTCATACAGTATTCCTAATCCCAATTCTTTCTGCCATTTTGCATTTTCCTCCCATCCTTAACATTTATGCAGGTTCAGCCTTGCCGCCTTCTGGGGATTAACTGAGATTACGCAGTCAAAATGAGGTACTCTTTTCAAGTGTCCAATCGCTCGTACTTGCACCAGATCTAATTAGAAAGCCACTTATTTGACAGCAAGTGCACCCTTTAATGTCACATTAACATTTCATTTCCCAGCTCTTTGACTGCAGTAATCAGGCGCCAGCCCTGAAGCTCTGAAGTACGTAGGAGTATGATGCTTGAATCATCTGCAATGCTTCTCATCTGATGTTCCTACTCGATAGCGTTACCAATCGACCTGCCTATGTTCAGCTATACAGCTGAAGTTGTCATCATAGCTCCCTGCTGAGCTGGACTCGGTGTTTCATTGTGGGGAGGGGCGAGGTCAGGGCCACATCAATACAATTCATATTTTGCATCCACATGAGTTGGCTGACTGAACTGCAGCAAGCATGATGTGTAAAACTTGAAACAGGAAGTGAGTCAATAAACAAAGACGGATGTTCTTGAAGTGGCCAGTCTGGGGAATCATTTGACCCTTCATCTCGGCCGGAGGTGGGATTACAGCGCTGCCGAAACTCGCCAATTACCGCGGTGAGTTAAGACCATTAGTAACAGGAATGATGTCCCAGACTAAGAGAGGGAGACTCTAAATGAAATGCTTAATGCAGGAGTTGCCCTGTATTCATTGTAGTACCATTATTCGAGTCAAAACATATCATACTGACAGTACTTGAGTTTGCCCTTCAATTAATTAGTTGGTCAGGTCTGAATAGATTCCCGCGGTTAGGTGAGTAATATGTGCACTCTGTGTGAAAGTACAACAACAAAATCCTTAAAAATATTATGTTGTTCAATCTTACAACGTAAAATTCCGGGAATATTATTAATATTAAGTTGGAAACTTTCTTTGGTAATTAAAAGGGATATACAGGAATAAACTGGACAATATGTGGTATTTTAATGCAAAAATATTTCAAAATAAAAATTTTGAATTAACACATTTGTGAGTACACTTTATTCTTTCATTGAACAACAAAAACATGTTGAACATTGAATAAAATGTGTAATTCCTGTGGTCAGCAACGTATATTCAAAGCTTCGTTTCAAAACCGTAGCGGAAAAAAATGAGAACAGTGTTTGTTGCAGCCCTGTTTCTGAAAACTTCTGATTTCTGATGTGTGACAGAAAATGTCTTACAACAAGACGAAAGAATAGCTTGAAAGTAGGGACAGCGAAAGAAGTCTTAGCAGAAGACTTTTACTATCATGTCAAAGGTGAAAGCTTCAGAAGCAAAAGAGAAAGGAAATATCAGCCGTGTTTAGTGGGTAAGTTTGGCAGGCAGAAAATGAATATTTGATTTGTATGCTTGTCCCGAGGACCATGATGAATATTCAAAGAGAGGGCAAAGCCTGCAGAGTTGCCTCCCCCAGATGGGACACAGAGCATGCGGCTGTGAGCCGAGTCAGGCAGACCCATGAAGACACACGTTCACGTATATATATATATATTTGATATATATATATATATCAAATATATATATCAAATATTCACATCAGGAGCTATCATCAGAGATTCAAAATGTGTGGCCGGTTGTAATGCCTACCACAAAGTACAGTGGACTTTTACAAGTACCCTGAGGAGTCCCTGGATGCTACTCACCGTAGAGGCCTCAGGGTCCTCAGCAGCCGCAGCACTCTGAGCATGCCCAGGATCTTGGTACCAGAATTGGAGAGGAGAGAAACCAGAATGTCGATAACAGAGATCAACACCAGCATCCCATCCAGAATGTTCCAGCTGCTCCTCAGGTAGGACTTGTTCCCCAAACACCAGCCCAGAGCCACAATCTGGACACAAAATTGAAAGGGTAAAACTGACACAGTGCTGAATGTATTTAAAAAAAATATATATACCATCTAATTGAACATCAAACTTTTAAAATCAATCACTCAACATCTAAATTTGTGTCTGTGTTCGCAGATTTGTTTGTTATCAAGCAATCTTTAGAGGCAACGCTTCTTGGTCTTTCAGCGCTGCTTATTGACGTTGTGAATGGATTGTTGACCAGGAACTTGGCAGAAAAAATTGTGAAAGCTGCAAGCTTTTTCTAGCCTCATTTTCAATTCTATAGGTTCCATTCATCGTTTATTCTGCCCATAAAGCAATTTGCATTCCTAAAAATAATAGAGTTTGGCTGGCTTGTTTTTTGGAGCTGAAACTTATTAAATCAGGCCACGACAGCTATTTTTGCATCATGCATTTCTTAACATCTAATGTAACTGAGGAGAGCAAGAGAAAAGAGGGAGATGGATGAATTACATTAGTTGATGCTAATCAATGCATGCACGGTATTTTCTGTATGTAAGTGGGAACCATCAAAGAGGCTGATCACACCTCATGAATAAAGACATATCTCTCCGTGGCAGTCCAGACGGCCTCTACTGAAGCACTCTTCACTGCTCAACTCGCCATTTGTGCATTTCATATTTAGTTATGAATTTAAGGTTATAATACTTGGCCTGCATGTTCACACATTGCAATATTTATGGAATGCATATTATCTCATTCCTGTTTGTACTCATTTGACCATATCAAGTGTCACTAAAATTCTATTACTTTTTCATATATTGTTTTATATTAATATTTGATTTGTACATTCTGAACTCTCATTTTGCTTTTTATTTGTGTGGTTTTCCTTTGTTATATAGGCCTACATATTAAATGAACATCTCAAAAGGAATTTTAACACTCTATAATATAACTGTTGTGCACATGAGTCATCCTCAAAACCCGCGTCATATCATAAGACCAGTATAGAACCCACGTGTAAAAAGTCATCCGCTCTAGTATTTTTCTCTTTTCAACACCCGTAAGCAATCATTACAGCCCAGTTTTGTATCTCACTGCTAAGAGGTTGCCCTTTTACCCAGGCAACACTGCAAACAGCACCCAGTTTGTATCACTGCAAAAGAAAAAGGGCCATGGTTTTAATCAGCAGGCTGGAGGAGGAGGCGGAGCTGCCTGGAGCACTCCGCCAGCTTCACACTGCAGGGGCCTGGGAGCCGCCCGAGGGGCCCTGCGTGAGCGCTTCTCAATGAGCGCCGAATTAAGAATAACTATATGGAAGTAGACAATCTGCTTGCTGGTTTTCTAGTGAAAATCCTACGGAGGAACAAGTTTTGAATCCACACGGTTTCATAACGGGTTGAAAGTGTCTCACCGTAACTTAAGAAGTAATATCAGAAAAGCTTTGTAGTTGATAAATCCAGTGGTTCCCAATGTATATATGCACACAATACATATTGAGTTGAGTACTGCGGCAGTCTAGAAGAGAAAGCACCATTCTGCTTCACATTTGTTGTTCAAAGCCAGGGGTCTCAAACTCCGGGCCGCGGGCCGCACCGACTTTGGTGTACCCCTCCCCCCGTTGACCGTACCGTTCGCCGGTCGACCGTGATGGTCTGGCCTGCGTTCCATCGAAGTGGGCTGCATCTCGCCCGCACCTGATTTAAGTTTGAGACCCCTGCTCGAAGCTGTAATTAATTTACAACTTTGGACTACACTTAAAGAGGTAACTTAAACGATGTGTCTGTGTGTGCAGGTAAGCAGGTAATGCATTTGTGAACCCGCTCTGACATCGATACAGAGGCTTTGAATGAGAGACACCTGTGAACTTTACTGCCTCTGCTTGTCTCCTGCCTGTTTTAATACTGGCGAGACAATCCTCCGCTTAGCATTATGTAACTGACCTGCGTACGTATGTCTCCCCCTCCTCGTGCCTCTTAACTCTGTCATCATTGGTATTTTTGGGGCTTAAGGTGCCTGTGGGTATCAGGCAGACTCAGCAGCTTAGTGTCTTAGTGGTTTTTCGGGAGTGTCTGCTGCTATATTTTTCAACTAAAATGTGTATCCTGCGAGTGAAAACAGATGTTTCATCTTGTTTCCCCCAAAGAGACAAACAATGAGGTATGGTACCTGTGATTCCTGAGCTGTCCGCTCATATTTTGTGACATTAGAAGTGATGTCGTTTGTAAGAACAGAAGTTGAACTTCATGGAAGAGTGAGAAACAAAGATTGTAAGTAAGAGTAAAAATACCTAAAGTACCGAAAGTTGTCGCAGGCCTAAGCATATGCAAAATTTACTAAAATCTTTCACTGGACTGGGATTTGGAAAAATAAATCCCAGAGAACAATATTTCTAAGTGTCTCACCTTTATAGCCATCTCAGCCACGAAGATCGCTGTGAAGATGTAGTTGGACAATTTTAGGAAGATCCGCTCCTGCAGTGAACGAGGAAGACAAAGCTGCTTGAGTCAAGGTACATGCTAATGCACATTTCTTTTCCCAGCATGCATTTCTACATCGCGCTTGTTCTTTGTCTGCGTGAAAATGGATCTGAATAATGTATGAGGGAGCTGTTGTCTTCACATACTACCTTAAAGCATCTTTGTATAAACATCCCTGTTGCACTCGCTAATGATGGCTGGCAGGCATGTATAAAGTTTACTATTTATTAGCGCTGGAGGACAATTTAAACAAGGCATCTAATCACTAAAACCGTAAAACCTTTCTCTTACCTCAGAAAAAAAGGCGGTTTTGGTTTTGTGTTAAGTAAATAAACTTAGTATACTAATACCCCGAATCGGATGAATTGTATTGGGAGCAGGTGGCATTAGACCACCTGTAGGACACTTGGTGAGATGAGTTGAGAAACACGTTTCTGATCAAAAAACAGTGACTTTTGTATTTTCATCAGAGACAAACAGTCGATTGAGAAGGTACAATCAGTCTGCATCGTATCAGGATTAAGCTAATAGATCACCAAATGTCACCGCACTACTTATGCAATACGAGACTTCCCTTTAGCCTGAGGCAGTGTTGCTTGCTGGCGTGTGCATGCAAGAGCGGGGGGGGGGAGGAGATGGGATCCTATTTATTGAGCCAAATGAGGACTTAGAGAAAACAAGCAAGCCAGAGAGAATAAGACCCCCTCTTCGACTGCTTGTTTACCCTCCTTCCCCTCGGTCTGAAGAGACGTAACCCCGTCCTGCCGCTGACCGTCTACGTATCGGATGCGTGCGGATGTCTGTGTGTGTGAGCGAGAGTAGGTGGCTGCCTTTCCCACGGCCTCCGACGGCCATCACCGTTGCTTCCCCCGAGGAACACAGAACTCTCACACACACACACATAAACACGGAGCTGGAAGTCCCACAGCGTTTGGTTTTTTGTGAGGTCTTTGGGAATGTCAGGCATGACATCACTGCGAATGCTGCTGTTTAGAGGGTTTATGAATTCCAGACTTGACGGCAGCCACGCCTGTCCCATTCATCAGGAGCTAACTGGGCACGGGCTAGAGAAGCTGAAGATTCATGCGTTGTGCAGTAGCAAGAATTGACCGTTTGCCTCGAGCTGCCGTCAGTCCAAAAACATTATGGCACAATGCTGGTAAATTAAGTTGTGTACGTGACCAGTTCAAGTGTTGTGTATCTTGTGATACATTTGGTGAAAGACAGGTTGCACAAATATACTTAACCCAAGATTGCATGCTAATGAAGAAAAAAAAATTGCAAATCAAATTTGAAGTTAGCATTATTGAACAATTAGCTTTCTGTAATCAAAAAACTCAAGCCTCTAGCCAGAAAAAACGAAGCATAATATCCACTTTCTATTTTTTTTTGTTTCACTCGTATGCTAATAAACCCATTGTGTTGACCAACTGAAAGGAAAACAAATGGTAATTTGCTGTCAAGTAGGCGCATAATTAGCTGAAAAACTAAACGTGAGTTGATATAGTTAGCCATTTAAGATATAATTAAGCCCAGAATATATTTAAGTTTAAAGTCCTTTTCCATATAGACTCTTACATCACAGCCAATTTAAATGACGTTCCTCGACCCTGATGATGTTCATTATTCTGCTATTCTTTTATTATTCCCGGTTCAATATCTGGCCCCCAGTTTGTTTGACCACGAACAGGAGCCCCAGACGTTGTTTAGTTGCAAGCCAGTGGAAGCCGCACAAATGACGCCGAACTGTGCAGCGCCATGTCTCCATCTTACTGCTGTCTGAAGCTGGTAAAAACCGAAGATTGATTGTGTTTTACACTGCCGATGGTGATATAACTCAATTTAGAACTATAGACGTTGATGTATTGTCCCCTTGCTCAATTAGAAATAATAAATCATAATAGGTGGTATAATCATCCTCAATCATTTCCACTGAGCAACAGGAAGACAGTATCCAGGCAACGTCCAGCACCAAAACCAAAACAGCAGTGGACTGCGAGCCAAACCCAAAGTGTGTGACATCACTTCCAGGATGATAAACGGATAATCCCACACTCAATTTATCTGAACACTTCCTTTCCATAACTACATTTATGAAATCTCTATTTAAAGAATATAAGTTGTGTTTTTGCAGGCAAGCACAATAGCTCTATAGAGAAGGAAGGAGACTATTAAACATGTCCTGTTGTTAAACACAGACAACATGGAATCAGAGGATTGAAATCGATCCCAATGGGCTTCATCAACTCAAAACCCAAGCGGACAAGGAAATGACATCACGCAACGGTGACATCATGTAATGATCTGGAGCAATGAGGGTCTCCCGCTCTCTTGTTTCAGGCTGCTCGCTGCGTCATGTATTTTCCTCTCATTTCAGGTACGGCGGCAGGTTGCTGACCGCAAAGCATTTGTATGTATGCACGTTTACCCCCCACTCCCATGATGTCAATGCTAGCCTGCAGCGATGTATTGCCTTTAAGTGTATGGCATTTAATTCTGTGTGCAGAGGCTCTGCCCTGAATAGGCTGACTGGATGGGCTGCCTGGGGAGAGGGGGGTCAGGCCTCCATTTGTTAAACATCCATATCTCTTCCCTGGACACTAGGCGCGTCCAACAGCCCACAGATAATTGAATCAATTACGACGGCCCTCTGTGTTTCAGACGCAAAACAAGCAGAACGGAGCGCTGGTCTAGCGAGACGCAACCACAATTAGGATCAGCGGCGGAACTCTTAGAAAAAGAAAAAAACAGAAAGGGAAAAATCAAACAGTGATAATTATTGTGTTTATGCACGATGGAGCGGCAGGGCTATGTTCTGCTGCTGTAGCTGGACACGGTCACAGCTAGATTGCTGTGTGTGTGTGTTTGAAGGCTTGGTGCCTTAGCTGAGGTGGTGATAGTGTTGGTGATGCATTGCAGCAGATACAGGGCGGTGTGGCACACATTACCGGCAGCTACTGGCTGGCAGTCAAACAGGAGTGGGTTCCCTGCCCACACAGTGATCCACTAATGAAAGTAGTAATCGGTTTGGGGCGAGTGTGTGTGTGTGTGTGTGTTGGAATCCATGCTTTAAACTGCCATCAAGGTTGGACTTGCGAGAAGCTACTTTCTCCCTTTTGGGGATCTTTTGATTCATTCATGTTCCTTTTCAGTATTGATTTTGGGATTTACAGTATGTTCACATGTCTTTTCTTTTTTCTCAACCTCTTACTGTGTTTGTAAGTGAAGATTCTGGGGGCAACACCCTTGAGTTGCTTCTTTTCGAAACTAACTTTATAGAGCAAAAGTTGTAATGAGTGTAATGAGTTGCATGTTTGTCCTCCACCAGCTGGGAATCCGTCAGGCTCTTTTGTCTCACAGGTGTTTCGATCTGTCTTTCAAATGGTTTGACTCAATCTATCAATTTGTTCCTAATGATGTCATTTCATTGTTCTCTTTTTCTTTTCATTTGTGCCTCACCCCACCTCTCACCTCCCAATGTTTAGGGTTCCTAGGGGATCCCAGTGAAAAGGTCCCAGCAAAAGATCCCAGTTTTCGTAGTTTGGTAGTATATGAACTCAATAAATAGTCTATTTCTTTCTACACACATTTTAGTCAGAAATAAGTGAGTTTTGCTGCAACATTCTTAAAATAATAATTTTATGAAGACACATATTGGCATGACATATAATGCTTTGAGAAGAAAAAGGTTAACATTTTACTCTGACAGTAGTTTATTATTGCCATCCCCCCATCCTTGCATGTTAAACCTGTTGAGGGGATGAAAGTTGAACACGTTTTTAGACTCACAATAGTGGTGATGCGAGGCCTCTCCATGGCGATAGTGATGCAGTTGAGGAAGATGATGATCAAAACAATATGGTCAAACATCTTGTGGTTGATGATCCTATTGCACAGAAATCGGAACCTGACAAAAAAACAACAACATAAGTTTAAATCTTAAGTGACACTTGAAATTAACTTTATACATAAATAGGTATGCAATAAAACATGTGCACCAACAACTGTGGAAAAAGTAAAGAGGAAAAATTATATTTCTTATCTTATCTTTTTTTTCATCCTTGATGTTTTAAATTTATACATCTCGTTATGACAGTCTGAACACACATCTGCCGTCCTCTTTTTTCTACGTCTATGTACGTTCACTAGTTGTCACATGGTCACATACAAACGGTAACTGTAACGGTAAGATCTGGATTTTAGGGTTTTATTGGGGTAATACAACACCACAGTGTCAACGCTCACTGATTATGTATGCATCTGGCTGTGTTAATCATTATGCATACAGTATACGGAATTGGGAGAGCTAATTCAGCTTTGATATCTGCAGGTCAGAGCATCGGTGATGGAGACTTCATAAGCCGGAGGGAGGGAGGACACATTGAACACAAGCCTCTGATGCCAGATCCTCTCTGTGGTTTGAAGGCCAGCTGGGTACTTTGATGCTCAAAAGGCCCCCGAGACTTACAATCTCACACCCCAAAAACCAAAGAGCAGAAAAAAAGGAAAGCTGTCACCACACGCTCAAGCAAAGAGCAAAATACCCCTTTATGTGGGACATGAGATAAAACATGTACAAGCCAAATGCATGGGTGTTTTACATGGCAAGATGTTGTGTATGCCTTTTAAGGGTTTTCTGGCATCAATGCTTCTCAATGACAATTGAGCTTATTGACTTTACGTAACTTTGGGTTATATTGGGCCTGTGGACAAGCATCCTTCAGAAAACCGCTCATATCATAAGCAGTGGCACCGGTGAAAATAAAAAAACATGAATAGATCTTGTTGCTGTATTGTTTACTTCTGTGGCTCATATAGAGGCATCGGTATCTGTACCTGTTAACTGTACAATTTTCTAACATACTACCCTCAAAAGAATCTGTATATTTGGACACTTTTCTGTCAATGCAATTGCTGATTTTAACATGCTAAACTACTCTTAATTAATATTCCTCCGGTACTACTACTGTTTCTAAACTCCTTCTTTGTGTCTCTGGTGCTTTTGCACTGCGCTGCACTTTGCAGCCTCTTCAGCAGCGTAGAAGGTAGTGTGACAGTGTCTCTTGGATCTTGTGCCGAAGGAGTTTCTGTCGGCAAGAAAAATAGGACGCATTGCTTTCGGCTAGAGCACATTAAATGTGTTCTTCAGCTGAACCACTGTTGTGTTCTATCAATCAGTAATGGAAAGTAGCTACACAGAAAGTAATAACATTATCTGTATCTTCACTGTGGCTGCTCAGATGACCACCCCCCGCCCACCCAAAGGGTTCAACGCAGTTACACATGACCTAGTGCCCAATCTTCGGTGAGTCTCGAGGTCACCATGTTGGTTTTCCACTATTCTTACGAGTCCCATTCTTGCAGCGAACACATCGAACGTCAGTGATGCTCTCATAGCCGGCGCACCGCTGCTCCCATTGAAAACTTCCCCCGCAGCAATCAGCAGCAGCAGGAACAGAGAGCACAAAGGCAAGTCGGGGTGAGCTCGGGTCCATGTGAAAGCCGCGGGACTCTGGCCTCCCACCAAGCTGCTGTCTCCTGATGTAATTGTGAGCACAGGCGGGGGTCCGCGGTTGGTTCAAGGCCGGCATGGGTGTCACGCAGAGCCTGTGTCCTCGATGTCACTCTCAGCGACAGTCACACCTTGCTGCTCGCTGCAATTAAAAGCCAGCAAGGAGCCCGGTTCCAGCCAAGACCCCTCCATATTTTTTTTTAATAATGTGACAATAACAGCCGCTGGGGATATTTTTTTATTAACCTTTTTCAAATCATGTAATACGGCTGATAAAGAGCAGAAGCAACCAGAATTTCTAAAATTGCAAAAGTTCGAACTAGAAGCTGTGTCAATACTCGTTTTGATGTTAGCTGCCTGCCAATGAGCTTACTCTTTAGGTAAAACTGATATTCCCTTAGCTGAGATGATCAGATATGGGCATTTTTGTAGAAAAAAACGGGCTCAGCGAGCAAGAACATGAAACTCATCATTTTCAGAAAATTTTCAGAAATGGCGGAGTTCATATTTGGCACATTTTATAGTCTTCACTAACCATAACTACTCGCTAACAATCTAATTTGTAGGCTACAGTGCGACCAAGAGTCCCGTCAATTCTACACCTTCACCACTTGAACGCCAAGCACCTAACGCGTTTAATTAAACCTAACCGCGAGCTCACGAGTTCAATTGGAAGGCACCACCTTTGTTGTTTCATGTTTAATTAGCATGTTGCAGCGCTGTGGCGGCAGACCGGGGCCTGCGTGTTGCTTCGTGTTGCCTTCGCAGCCACATCCTCCAAATAGACAGCAGAGATATGCTGGTCAAAGCCCCAGAAGGGGAGAAGGAAGAGGGTGCAAAGGAGGGTGGGAAGCGAGCGACGGTTCAGCACATGGCTGAGATAACGTGCAGCACTCATAAAGCTTACTTTCTCCCACTGCTCCTTACTCACCCCTGACATGGCAGAAATGTTCAGATAAAAGAGACTTCTGAAGTGGGTTACTTGTTGTTCCTATGGTTTTAAAAAGTAGGCTGGGAGCCAGAGCCTTCAGTTATCAAGCTCCTCTTTTGGGGAACCAGGTTCCACTTTCAGCCTGGGGGGCAGATCCGGTCAGCTCTTTTAAAGTAAAACTTAAAACCTCTTTCCTCTTTGATTGTGCCTATAGTTAGGGCTGGCTCAGGTTAGCCCGGACCAGTCCTAAGTTAAGCTGCTATAGACTTAGACTGCAGAAGGACTTCTTAGGACACACCGAGCTCCTCTCTCACGCTCTCGTTCCACAATAATTCACGTTTTATTAATGTACATGACAAATTCAGCTTCTTTCCGGGTTTTTTTGTGCTTTCTCCCCTAGCAGGTCTCCGTAGATCGTGGTTCCTCCTGGACCCTGGTCCTGATACCTGCCGTGGCCCTGCTGCCGCCTGCTGCCGCCATCGTCATCATCATTATTATTTTAGATATTAATCATATTACTGTACTCGTAAACCAACATTACCCTCTCCTAAAGTCTCTGTGCTCTCCCTCCCCACAGGCTTCTGTGGATGGTGGTTCTATCTGATGGTGGTTGCCCCTGCAGTGGTCCTGCCGTGCGCCTGGCTTACTACAATTACTTGAATCATTTCTGTCAGGAATTGCATGTATTATATATTGTTCATTCTGTACACATGGCATCCATTGTAGTCTGTCCATCCCGGGAGTGGGATCCCACTTCTGACGTTCTCCCTAAGATTTCTTCCCTCTTGGAAGGGTTTTTTCATTTTTTGGGGAGTTTTTCCTGTGCCGATGGGGGGGTTTCGGCACAGAGGATGTCGTATGTGTACAGACTGTAAAGCCCTCTGAGGCAAATTTGTAATTTGCGATTTTGGGCTATACAAAATAAAATGAACTGAAGTGAGATTGCGGGAGGGGAAAAGGAGTTAGTAGGGGAAGGGAAGAAAAAACGCTTTGCTTTGCTTTTCATTGCAGAAGAAAAAAACGCTGTCATGTCATTATGGGATGCCAGTCAACTGCACAAAAGTAATTCATTTGTAAAGTGCTGTGGATTTCTTTCGAAAATTTCTTTTAATTTTATAACACACAATCAAATGTAACCAGACGTATACAGGACCATCTGGTTCATAAGTCTTTGTTTTGCCCATAACAAAAAAAAAGAGAGAGGCCGAGTGGAAAAGATGTAAATATTACCTCGACTCCGGAGGGAAGAGGTAGAGTGACCAGGTGTCCCTCTGTCGACACCACTCTGGCTGTTTCTTTTCCAGCCAACGGATCACTCTGGCAAAACGACTCTGGGTTGAGGAGTGGGGGGGGGGCACAGATCATTCATTATTCACATGCTCACTGTTTACACGGATAGATGCTTTTGCTTTGTTTGCTCTTGCAAAACTGTTTGTCACATATTCATTAAACCAGGTTTGTCAAAGGGACTACTGACAACATCGATATCCAGCAATGTTGAATTGTATGCAAAAGATCTTCTCTATTGATTTCGTATATTGTTAACCTACCTATATTACTGCTTTTTGCTAATGGCTGTCTGGGCATATTGATTTTAAAAGAACGTGAATAGGATCGGTATAACTCATGCAGCAAAATCAAGTCCAGCCTTTGTTTCATTTGGGAGGTGCAAAGCCAATTTGCTATACATCTCCTATAAAAAAGAATATCTAGATCACTAAAACACCTTACTTCTTTTTCATTTTCTGCATTAATTCCCCAACCTCTAAGTCTGAGCTCTACGTCACTGCCCATAACTCGGACTGCACTAGAACAATCAGAGGAGCACACACGAGCAGACTGACCAGGTTGGCCTCCTCCTCGGCATTTTCCTCTTCCGTGTTGTCTTCCAGAGAGACGTGAGTGGGGTCCGCGGTGGACGGAGAGCCCTTCCCATTGCAGCCGCTGTGTTCTTGGGGAAGTAATTGTCCCTGTGAGGGGGGTCTGGAGCTGTGCATACTGGCGGAGCGGTTCAAGTAGGGCACCTACACAGGAACGGACACAAGGATGCTGTGGTCCCATTATCTTACACCATACTGTGCTACTCTGAATAACGCATCATAGAAGAAGGCCAATGAGTGGGAGGCGTGCAACAGGTCAAATGTCTTACCCCGAACTCTGGCGATTTATCAGAGGTAGAAGTGCCATCTACCTGCAGCAGAGCATCAGGGGGCAAATCCATGGAGCTCCGAGTCTCCACCGACTCCATCCTCCGATGTTGGGGCCGTCTCTGGGACTGGGACATGGAGTCCGTCCTGACCAGCGAGGCGTCGTCTTCATCCATCAACCCACCGCCTCCTTCTCCACCACCTTCGTCGGAGCTGGAGCCGCCCTCCCCGGAGAGGAGAGACCGTCGCTCTCCAGACTGCCGCTTCTGCCGCTTGAGTGACGGCGCGCGACCCAGGCTGTTCCAGCTGGATCGGCGGCTGGTCCAGCCGCTCCCAGAGCTCCACGGGGCGTTAGGAGAGGAGCTCTGAGCACCGGTCTGGAGCGGGAAGATGATCAGGAGGACAAGAGAAGCGGCAGAGTGATAATAAGGAGGTAGCGTGTACATCATGTCTGCTGATGTTGCTTTTTTAGAGAAATAAACAGCACTAAATTTGGTTGACTCGGCTTGACGCAAGCTAAATTGAATAGAGTGTCATGTTGACAGGCAGACGGGAGAAGATGTAGAGATCCGGGCTTATTTTTCTCATGTCTTTATCCAGATCAGTTTGTAAAAAATGAAGAGCAGCAATGGCGGCATGTCACATTTATCATCATCAATCATTATGACTTCCATACATCAGTAGGACACATCCAATGGAAGACAGACACTCAGATGACAGCCGGGTGGCCGTGGGGCTTGGGGTGTGATTCCTGACAGCTTACATGCATATTGATGGATGTGTTACTAATCAACCTTGAGCAAGACGCCTACACTTGAAATCCAACAAATGTTTTTGATGTACGTGAGATAAGAATGAATACACAAACCGGTGATTTGTCGTAGCAGGCTTGGTCCATGGAGACGTTGCTGCCTCGACGGGGCTCGTAGCTCAAGGTGGGGTCCCCTGCAACGGGCAACTTGGGCACGGGCATGGGAGTGGCGGCCGTGTGGGTAATTAGAGGCGGAGTCAGACTGGTCTTCAGGTCCACGTGGCCGTTTACAGGCACTACTAGTAAAGAATTGGGATGAAGAAAGTTACATTTAGTGATTTTGACTCTTGGTTAACACCTAACCAACCTTTACTATGTAAACCAAAAAACTAAGCAAATATATGTATGGCAGTTTACTTTGAAAATACAATGTGCATGTAAAAAGTGGAACCCAACACGCCGCGCCCGACACGTCTAAGCCTAGTTCTTAACAAGAGCCTCATAGTTTGAAGATTGGGGCCACTGTTTCTTTTAGTTGGGGGTGAGAAATGTTGAAGAAGACCAGGATTTCAATGTAAGGAGTGACGATTAAAACAGACAAGGTGAAGTGCATCAGCGGTGGAAGATAGTTGGGATGGACCAAAGAGTAAAAGCATCAGGAGCTGCACACCCTACTTAAAAAGCGTTGTCTCGCAACGAGGATAATTCAGTGTGCCATTAATCTTGTGTATACAACAGAACAAGATATTTGGCCTCAACACAAGTATTTAACATGCAGAGTTGCAGTGCAATTATTTTCCCTTCCCCTTTCCCAACCTTTATCTGAGGCCCAAGAGATGTATTTTAGGCTCTTGCAGCTACGTAAGCTGTTTCACTCAGAGCCTCGGAAGGGGCCGAAGGGGGAGATGATACCGTTCGTCTGGGACCACTGTGCTCCACACAGCATTGGTCCCATTGGGCTTTAACAGGCTGCACAAACGGTAATTAGAGGGAGCGGGTAACTGGCGCGCGAGGAATTATGGATGAGGCTGCTTTTCTGGTTTGATAAAGCGCCGACTGAGTGTAGTTCGAAAAACAACGGATGTGTAGACTGTAGAACAGGAGACAATAGACAGGCGGGGTATGTTTGCTCAGGGTATACTTCAGATGCCTTCGGCCTAACTTGCTGCTGTATCACAAGCTATTACATGGATTTTACTGAGAAAGACCACTCAGTGTGCAATCTACAGAGATTAGAGAGACAATGCGCCTCAGGGAAGGCAATGTGCGAACACAGACGCTACAAGTTTTGTCAATAGAGGCCTTGAAAAAATCACCGAGGAGTTCAGTGTTCTGAATTCCTATTGTAGCATCATTGACTCGAGCTGCCACAATATGAGCTGCCTGTAGACATTTGTGTATTTCACCTGGAGAGGCTGACAAATCCTTCTTGCTGCCGTTGACGTCCTCCACGCTTCGTGCACAGGAATCGATCTCCGAGCCCAAATTAGACGTATCGCCCTTGACACACAAACAGACACACTCAAAACGCCAGAAAAGAGCATGTGTCTGTTTCTTTGGGGAGTTTACAGAAAGCATGTGGGCTGAAATTGCCTCTAAACACAGATCCCTGCTCGTCTTTATCTCAGTCCGGTTGTTCCAAGAACCACTGTTCAAATCTGAACCTGGATCAGTCCATAGAGGCAACCTCCCTCTTGTAGGCAAGCGGGTGACGGTGTGGTCCCTCGGATCTGAGTGTTTTTAATAACCACAACGGTACAGACAGACGGTGAAGAAGATCAACTGTGTCAAGTGTTGCCATGCAAGGAGAGTGAGAAGGCCTGTAGAGAAACCACACTGAAGTTCAACAAATGAAATGCTAGACGGCACTTTTTCCAAGAGCATCACTTCTTTTAACGAAAGAGAATACGAACGAGCTTCAGTGTGGTTGCTAGGTTTTTGATCCTCCCACTTACACACAAAGACACGACATACGCCACTGTTTCTTGCCGTGACAGCTCCTTTTCCTTGGTTTGTTGTCTATTGTCATTACCAGGCAATGATTTCAAAAGCCTCTTTCTCGCATTGACATTTTATTTATCTCTTTCGGGCTTTTAATTATTCTCCTCTACCCTTTTCTTCTCGAGCCGAAGCCTCTGAGCTCTTGCTTGTGTTCGCTGCGCCTCAACAGAGCCTGCAGACTGCATCAATGTGTGCGAGGGCGCCAGGTGGACGCTGGATTAAAAGGCTGTGCTTCAGACTTCTGTGCCAGACCTCAAGACCTAATCACCATGCACTTTTACACTAACAAATTACTGTAATTATCTCCCAATGAGTGTAAGAGAAAGACACAGAGGGTGGATATACTGCGTGTTTCTAAAGTTCTAAACAAAAATGTATGACCTGCACAGATGTTATTGGTAGATCTGTGTTGACTTTTATCCAACAAAATATTGTTGGCATTTAGCATTTCGAACAACATTGTCACTGCAGTTAAAAAGCAGCACACAAAGAAACTAGAGCACCCTTTTAATTATTTTAATTCACTTTTTTAACAGACACTTCATTCAAAAGCTTCAAAATAAGTTTGACTTAAAAGGTTCAGCCCCATTATGGACTACAGTATTTTATCTGGTCCTTTTTTTAAACTGTTTCAATGATTATATTACTAGTGGTTTGTTTGAAGTCTGCACTATTGACACAATCAAGGCTACCTGACTTTAAGCCTTATTTTAGAAATACTGTATGTTGCCATGAAGATTATACAGCACACAGATGCTGACATACGGCTAAACAGACACACAGCCCGAATTCACAACAAAATCCAACACCAAACAAAAACGGTTAGAACCACAGCGAGAGACAATCGGGAAAGCACAGCTGTGAGAGGACACACCCGGTGGAGCGTCGGCAATAAGCACTGAGGCTGCACAACCTCATCTCCTCTCCCTCCCTTCGTGGTGGTTTCTCTTCCGGCTGACCAGCGGTCAGCTGGGAGCTTGCATTGGCAGTCAGTGTAAGGATCAGCGTGACAAAGTGTGTGTTTGTGCGATCACAGGAAGGCCAGGTTAGGGCATTTGTGAGGATCTTGTATAAGCACCAGAACCATCCTCGTCCATGTGTCTTTGACTGGATATATATAGATATATCAACATAGATCTATAGATATAGCTAATATTTCTTAGTGTGTGTTTTCACTATTTGACATTTCATTTACTGCGGGCCAGGATCAGTAAGTGGAAAAAAGGTGTTTTGGGGGGTGAAAGCAAAAGTGGAGATGATTGCTTTGGATCAGGGGTGACGAGGGAGTCGGGACTCGAAGGAAATCCTTGTCCCAAAATAGTCCGGTAATTTTGATGGCTTGTTTACACTCTGCCACCCCAATTTGGCGATGGTGGCGGCAGCAGGAGATAGGCCAGACCAGGCCTGCTGCTGATAGCCAGACAATAATAGACACCAGCAGCACAGGGGGGAGCTCAATTACATCGCTTTTGAAAGGGTGGGGATGGGAGACGGCGGGTGGATGTTGATAGGGGGAAAAGAGGGTAATGTGTGTGTGTGTCTTTGTGTGTGTGTGTGTGTGTGTGTGTGTGTGTGCGTGCACAAAAATTGCATCCTACCAGAGCTGGATGTAATTAGATACCTGTGGTGTTGTGGCAAACCTGTAACTTACATGAGCAACGACTGCCAAAATGACACAGGTATGGAAGTCCAGGCCTGCCAATATCTAAATGAAATCATTTAATCAAATTACAATTTAATTTCCTCCTTTTGTGCACTAATTAAAAACAAATAAAAAAGGAAATCAATAGCTATTGTAATTTTAAAAAAAGTCTGGCCATATTATGTCGATCGTATTTGTCACAATCATAATTGCTTAATTCTAATAAACCCCACAAACTACACTACATTCATGTGCTAATGTTGAATATTAAAGTGAGTCAGCATTCACAATAGCATGTGTACTAGGCTGTGCTCATGTTAGCATGCTAACACTAAACTCACTGTAGATGGAACGATCGGATGTTTATTAAGTTTGCAGCTGACTCTATGTCACTTAGCAATAAAATTAAAATAACAGCAGAGATAGATGGCCCCATCACTCAAAGTTATTACAAATCTTCCTGAAGGGGAAATCAAACGTTGGGTGGAACTAAATGGAACTATACAATTCTGCCATTTTTTAAAAGCATTTCATTTCAAAAATGAAAATCAAAGTGATAATGAAATTAATTTCCAAATTGGAAAATAATGCGCACGATACATTTCTGACTAAAATGGAGATTGAATTTAAGTTGTGTTTTTAATTTGATTGAATTACTTTATTTTAATATTGGCTGGTCTGGAAACCTGTGGGCGGCCAGCACATACAATGAATGCAGAGTGATGACAGTTTTAAGAGGCAATAAAAGTAAATCAAATCATAACTATAACCAGTGAGCAGACTGCACTCCCCATTACAAGCACACTCTCCAGTCGCCTGCTGTGTTTAAACCATTTGCCTCTTTGAAATCTCATGCATGAACTCCAGAGAGGGTTCGACTGAGTAAAGTTAGAGGGCGCGAGGACGAGACTTATCTGTTTTTCACATTCCCATTTCCCCCAGTGTTTAGTTTTGGCCTCAATAGGCCTGAGTCTTGAGTCCTGCAAACAGAGTTGATCTCCCCATGCCTTCAGTGGTGCTCATCCTCTTGTCCTGCTGGATTTATTGGCCTGTGCCTCCCACCCAAAAAATAGATTCCCGTGCTCACCCCCCGCTGCCTGACCCCACCCCCTTCCCCACCTCTCTTTCCTCCAAGAGAAGCAAACACGGAGGGAGGGAGGGAGGTTTTTGGGCTGCACCGGTACAGCACTCCTACCCCCGAGGCTAAAAATACATTTAAAAAAAGACTGGGGGCCTCGTTGGGGGGGGTGAGAGTCTGCTTTTTTAAAACGAACACGAAGAGAAGACACACAGGACAAGGGATGCAAGTCTTTAAGCACTTTCTCCTCTGAACAGCCGCTTGCTGGAGGACTCGCTGGTGATGTGACATATTCTCTGGTAGCCGTGTTGGAGGTCCTCTGCTTCTGGCAGATCATAAGTGATTCTACAGTTCTAGTGTGGTCACTCATCTTTCAAAAAGAGCCGGCATGCATTATTCGCATTTGGCCCCGTTGGTGTCGAGCCATGCCGCTTCACCGGAGGTTTTCAGCTTTTAACTTTCGAGGCTTGTACCATCACCACAATACAGACCATGTGAATAGACTTATTTTTGTGGCACGTTAAACAAATTACCAATTACTTCTTGTGTATGTTGATGGATTAGTTGTGTATGGTTGCAGTTATCAGATTTTAACCTTGTTTCTGGATAATATTTTTGTTTAATTGTTGTTTTTGCTGCCGGTTTGGTGAGAGTAAACTTATTATACCCATAAGCCCAAGCGGGGGAAGAACCCAATAAGTGACTGGGAACAAAGTTAACCCAGACCCAGATTTGTAGTGCAAGTTACTCATGGAGTTGCCGAGTAGTAGTATTTCTAAGTGGTATTAACATAAAAACTAGTTAAGTTACCAGTATGTTATCCTATTACATTTCACTAGCCAGTTGTGATCTGTTGCACTATTCGTTGCTTGGAACTCCTTCGAACAAATGAAGTTAATCAATTTAAACTGCTTAATATATTGTCAAATTCATCCAAGGAGTAATATTTAGTTTCCGATTTTCTTTGTTTTAAGCTTGAATAATCACTATAATGCTCATTTTAATGCTCAGAGGCTACATTTAATGTCTTTATTTAATCAGAGAGTTGTAGTATATAATAGTTGATCAAACAATTAGAAATATTTAAGAAGATCTCCAATTGCGAGCCACATCATACTGTTGGAGCTGAAATATGAACGGGAGACATTGGTTGGGCAGCAGAAGCAGCGGGAAAAAACTGAAAACCTCTTTGAATAAAATGTAAACTATTAGAAGGCGCAATATCACGGACTACAAATTAGACAGTGTAATTTCAGGCAGATTGGCCCCCTTTAAGTTATTCTGCTACTATAGTACGCTCAAATATTAATAACAAGAAGTCAATCTCCGGCTGTGGCTACTTAGAGATCTGACACATCACAGCAAAGCCTCAACAGGGATGGTTAGGAGAACGGGTGGAGAGGGAGTGCAGGAGGGTGGGGAGGTGGGGGGGCAGGAAAGGCCGAGCTGCAGTGCTTTACATACCCCTGAGTCTATGGGCAGCTGAATAAGGCTCAGCTGGACATGCACGTCGTCCCGCTTGGACACTTCCTATAGTGGAAGTGATCATTGCAGCCGGACAGGAGAAGGGAGGCGGACGGAGGAAAAGAGGCAGAGAGGTGAGAGGCGGAACAGCGACAGCAGTAGACAAGAGCAGAGGGAGAGAGTTAAAGGACATTTCAGCCTGTTGTAAAATTTTGACTTTACCGTGCAACACATATCAGCGTGTCGGAGCAACCGTCCTGAATCACAGAGTGCAGTAATATCAGCGTATCTCAGCGAATTGAATACAGGTTGAAAGCAGGACAAGACAGCAAAGTCCAGAGGTGAAAAGCACGGCCAAGTTTTCACCTCCGTTCAGGACACAATGTGCTCGGCCCGGATGCATTCATGTGCAGCTGACCCGACAAGGGCGTGTGAATCGTGCATGTTCAAATGTGTTCAAATTAGGGCTGTCAATAGATTGAAAAAATTAACTAATTAATCGCACATTTTGAAATTCATTAATCTCGATTAATGAATGTTGTTGTTGTTACAATGTTGTTTAGAAGAAAAACTAATATTCATTATAAAGACTAAATCTTAAAAGTAATGAGTAATCACTTTAGAAAGTGTATATTTTAGACACTGTTGTTTAATTGTTAATGTTATTTTAAAACACAAAACTACACACATTTGATCGTCTTGGAGACAGAATTCCACCGGGTGGAACACGTTGAACTAGCGACTCTTCCTGCTGTCCTCATGCACTTTGCTCTCAACTCTCCATCATTTAACAGCTGTGTTTTCCAACAATCTCCCCACATTTAGCCACAACGTTTTTAAATCACGGTCTTTTAGGGACACAGTGGTGGTCGTCACAGTGGTGGTTGCAGACTGTGTACCGCGCAGGGTAATGTTAAATGTTAAGATGGAAGTAGCATAGCAGCTAGCTTAGCCTAGCAGCTGTCTAAACATAGCAGTGCTTTAAGTGCCCTTCTGTTTGACACGTGGAGTAATTCCTCTGCACAGTTTTCTGCTGCATGTCGCCCCACCGTTTGTTTTACTTCCAAAGCAAAAAGCGCTCTCCGTCTTGATGTAACTGACTGCAGCTAGCGGCCGTTTCGTTTCCAGGACGTAAATAAACAAATGTTAACTACGTTAAAATATTGTGTTGCATTAATCTAGGCCACATTGATTGCATAGATTAATACATTAATGTTGACAGCCCTAGTTTAAATGTATTTTTATTGTCAGGCTTAGAGGTAAAAGTAAAAGAACAGCAGCTTTTGTGTCTTTGCTGTTAATAGGCCTGCGTAAAAGTAAAACAGCTCTCTCTCTGGTGGAATTTGGATTTCGTCACGTGGACAAAGTCACAACCTGAAAAGCGAAAGAAAGACATGTATAACAGGTGTGGGGAGGAAAAAGAGGATGGGCGAAGGAGTTAAATCAAGAAAATAAAAGCAGGCCAAAGTGGAATGAAATGAACACCATCACTTGATTTCCCCTCTGCCTTATGTCCACAGCATTATGGGAATATTGGAAGTGCATTTCTGTGTCTTGGGTCTCCTGGCTTGGTTCACATCATTCAAACTCCTCCGTTACCTAGCAACCATTACGCAGGGAAAGTTTAGCTGACTAAAAATAAACTCAGGGTTTGAAAAAAAAGGAGGTTAATTTAAAAGAAGAGGGAGAATTAAAGCGAAAAGACTGAGAGCAGAAGAGGAGAAAAGTAGAGCTTTGGGGGTTTCTACTTTTTGGTCTTTTTTGTATAAGAGTCGGTATGTGTTTGAAAATTTCACAAGCAGGTAGCATGGAGAGGATCCCCACAGCCTTTTTCTGCTAAATACACAATACAAACAATACTGCAGCTGCCTGCTGCAGCTGGAACCGAGACGATGAGACCGACTCATGAAGGCCGAAGCCAAAACAACCAGCTGAAAGGCAAAAAAGGTCTGCATGTGGTGAAATGTGCCAATGTGTCAAGGTTATAACCTCGAGGGGGAAGCTGAATCGCACAAAACAAAATGATACTTCAACAAACAAGCAATTCTTTAACAGATTAATCGTGTTTGGGATGATTTAAACTATTGGTTTATTATTTCTTCCACACGTATCTAACTATCTTTAGCAAATTACAGTACAAAATAGAAACCCCCTTCTAGAGAAATTAAACACATATTTTTTGTTGTTGAAATTTTGCGTCTGTTTGTTGTAATTGTATCTCTTCATTAAGGTAATATTGTGTCTCGTTGCAATTGTTTTTCCTTTTGGCTAAATACGTCTTTGACTTAATAAGAACATCAATCACAAACCACGTAGGAACTCGTTTTGCCGTTAGTTGGACTTTAAAAAGTCCCCAGAAACGCATTAATTCCAGTCTTGGCCCCCCATGTAAAGCCTTCATTAAGCGGCTTTGGTCATTGTCTCCCATCTCCTCTGTGGCTCCATTTACCAGAGCAAAGCATATCTGTAGTGCGAATGAGAACAATAGGAGGAGAAGCCCATTGAAATAAATCCATATTTTATGAGGCTGTCAAGCTCTCTCCCTGCAACCAATCGTCCATTCTCTCCCTGCTCTCAGCCCAAGAGCCAAAGAGCGCCTGAGATCAAAGCGAAGGTGCTGTCACCCCCTAATGAAAGAAAGAGAGAGGCAGACAAGTAGACAGCAGCAGATAAGCTGAATACTCGTGTGATTTACTCTTTCTATCTCGTCTCACCAGAGCTGAAACGTTGCTCAATGAGTTTCAACTTCTTCTCTTCTCTTCAGGGAAAACCTATTTTCCCCCAAACCTGTGCAATATATTCTCTCTGTTCCAGAAAAGAATTCAAAAACACAGTGAGGTGGTGGAAAAAACATCCTGTTCGTTGTCTGACATAAAAAGAGTTGTCCTGAGAAGACGGGTCATGAAAATAAGTCATCCGAGCATGAGACTGATGAGTGAGTGTAGTCTAGCAGACACCGTTTTCTTATGGTGTGCTTCACTGTTTTAGCAATAATGAGGATGAATGCAGAGAAAGAGTGGGAGGATTGAACAGGCTGACAACAAGGTGAGGATGAAGAAGAGAGGGGAAGATATGAAACTCTGAAACCGCGTGCGTTCTCATTTCCTCGCATTACCCTCCACAGACCACAAGAAAAAATCAGGGCAGAACGATGATGATAATAGTTTGGAAGATACCTCTCTCCTCTTGAGAAATAATGTATGTTAAGACTTGGAAAGCAAGCCAAATCACATTGCAAGATTCCCCAAGTTGACCTTTGACAAGTTGAAATTGTCTCAACCTGGTGGCAGGTTTGTTGACGGATGCTTTGAGATTAAGACAAAATGGTTCAACCAGCAACATTATACCTCAGTCTGGAAACCCTCGACCAGGATGGCCACCAGCAGGTTGAAGAGGACGTAGTTGCCGAAGGTCATGAGCGCGATGAAGTAGAGGGCGGCTACAGGAGTGGTGGAGGCCATGCCGTTGTATAACACCTTGTTCCAGTCCTCCTGGGTCAGGATCTGGAGAGGAAAAATGATTCATGGGAAAAAATACAGTTTTGTTCAGCAATCGTTGTAGTAGTTACTTTTTTTCTAGGTAAGATAGGCACTCATGTTGTTTACATTTTTAATGGTGGTAGTTTTACCACTACAACTTCTGGGGACTCTGGGGATAACTGTGGGTCTTTCATTTCACTGACGAACAATAGATGGCTGAATCTTTTTTCTAGCTGGAAACGACTTTAACGGCTAAGGTGACAACCGACACTCGGGGCAGGTCAGCGAACGGGCCCCTGGACACAAACATGCAAAAGGCCCTACAATCTCTCCTACGTAGACACGCAGTCTATAAACATCTCTCTCTGTAATCTGTCTCTTGGAAAATGTCAGGGCTCTGAAGTGTCACGCATTGAGCGTGACAGACACTCATTTCAGTCTTTAGCCACACATCCCAAAAATTTGGACTTCAGTCCGAGCCGCGTTGGTTCCTCTTCAACTTTCCCATCGGCCGCAGGGTCTTCTTTTTAACCTTACTCTGTTCTGTGTCTGTGTTTTATGCACCACAAGTTCTTCATTTGATAGAACAGGATGCTGATGTTGAAGACAATGTAGACTGGTTGAGTGCAGAAACATTAAACCCCCCATGGAAAAAAACGTGTATAACAGTACCATCTTCACTGCAGCGGGACATCATCTCTGATGGGATGATTCTCTGAATTATATATGGTTGCTATATTAAGGTTGATAAATACTAAGCAATAGGATAGATATATAATGGATGAATGGTCCGACCTGACTGAAGGCCTAATCACGATTGCAAGGTGACATGATGCAAGTGGATGGCCTACTTAACCTATAACTTATTTGGAAATGGGAATTAGATTGAGTGGAAGAAAATGAGGGCGCTGGAAAAAGGCCAGACAGGGAGAGAGAGCAATGAGAAATATTTGATGCAACATATTTTATTTATTAAGGCGGAACTGGTCTTTCCAGCCTCCGATGTGGACAGGTTTAGTCAGCGCCGATGAAGCAGGGACGATGCTGGTTGCTTGAGGGCACTTCAGCAGATTATAAGTTTGATTCAAACAAGGTTTAAATTTCATGAAGATGCATAGCTTTAGGTCACGCCCGTTGCTGAATTGTGATTCAAAAGACTGTGACGCTACTTCTTATTCTACAACTCCATTTGGCCATAACCCAAAGGAAGGGGTAAAAAGGGGCCATATGCTCACCTGAAACACAGTCACTATGGCCCAGAGGAGAGAGTCAAAAGTTCCTTCCTGTCGGGGCATGGTGTCTCCACTATTCCCCCTCGGGATCCAAACTTGCAACCAAACAGATGCATCCCCAGGATACTGACGCAGGAAGGGACAAAGCGGGGAGAAATCAAACAGGAAACAAAGGGGTAAATGTTTGCATCAGGCCAACACGCTAGATGCAGTACAAATAAACCAGCTGAAAGCACTCGTTCTGACTCCAGCACACTGTTAATACATGCTGCTTGCATGGCAGCTCAGGCAGAATAGACTGGACATGAATGGCAATTCACTTGTTATTTTTATTTCCCCGAAAAGTAGCAAAGGAAACAAAAACGGCATTTTCTTTCAGTCAGGCGATACACAGTAATTGGTTCATAAACAGTTGGAGCATAATGTTTGTGGAAGTAATGAGAGAGAGAGAGAGAGAGAGAGAGAGAGAGAGAGAGAGAGAGAGAATGTTGTTTTCCAGGTTCAGCACCATGGAGAGAGACACAAGCCACGTCAACAACACCTTAAAATCATGGCCTTAAAAACAAAGGCACTATTTCAAATGAAGGTGTTTACACTGCTTCATTCCTTCAGAGGGAGATGAGGAGAAGTACAGAGATCGAACAGCACATTTTACCCTAAGGACTGGAAGCGAGGTGGGAACAGCTAACCTGGCCCCGTCCCACGCTTACTCTCGTAATTCATCACATCTGATTCGTTTAATCTGTGAACCGCAGTACGGCGAAAACAACTCTAGAAAGAAAGTTTAGCGCTACATACAAACAAGGCCACTAATCCGTGGAGTGTTTCTATCATGAAAGAAGCAGTTATGAAGGAACACAGACACTGAGCCGAGGGAACCATGAGCTCTGCGGTGTCAACTTGGCAAATCTTCACTCAAATCAGAGGCTATTCATACATATATGCATACACAAGGATCTTGGAACTTTACACTGAAGCGCATGTGTGGCCTCATATATACTGTTCGTGCAGTCAGGGATAGAAACCTCCCAACAAGCTGCTGAAATGAAGCGTCACACGAATAACATTGAGCTAGAATCTAAAGCCAAAGCGTCATATATCATGGATTTGCTCTGAATTCCTTTATCTTTACAATACATAGTTATTGAGACAGTGTCGTTTTAACTAACACAGTACCTGTTTAACATGACATTTGAATACTGTTAATCAAACCTGATCAAACCACACCCTTCTTGGTAATTTAATTAGAACTGGTCTTGAGGGTTGAATGAGGATGTTCTTTCAGGATGCCCTTTTAGTCACACATAACGGAAGAGAAATATTTCCTACTCCCTTTCAATTTACCTCTTTTGTTTTCTATCTTTCTTCAGTGTTGACAGTTCAGGCATTCGTTCTGATGCAATTGTGAAATCCATACATTTTGCCGTGTCATGTGGGACGCAAGGTTGCTCACTACTCCTCTGCCTACCTGAAGATGAAGATGAAGAGCATGAGCAGCATGCAGAAGGTGGCTACGTTGTCCATGGTCTTCATCAGCACCACCAGCTGCCTCTGGAGGGCCGGCATGAAACGGACCAGCTTCAGCACCCGCATCAGCCGGAAGGTCCTCAGCACCGACAGGCCGCCGTCCTGCTGACCCACAATCTCCCACACGCTGTCCGGAGAGGAGAGAGGCACAAACACACACACACACACACACACACACACACACACACACACACATAGGTATCTTCATGTTCATATCCATAATAAAATTCCACATTCATATGCTAAATCTGGAGGCAAGGGGACAAGGTCTTGGTGGTGGTAAAGGACAATCTCGTTCCGATGCAGATGAGCAAAATGGTTCTCACTTAACTCTAGTATGTCCTCTCAAATTGCCAATCAGGCGGTAAACAATGAGATGAGGAAAAGGAAGTCTTGAAAGCCGTGATATCCGCTGGCTACACCGGAACCATAGATATAAAGCCCCCCGGCTCCCGTGGTCTTAACCGCCTTCAAACTGAAAATTGCTGTCATATTAAGTCGACGGACTTCAATCTGCCAAAACTCCTGCCGAATGTTCTCAAAACAGTGTCCAGTTAAGGTATTATAAAGAACCAGTGTTTATACTTATCCATTTGGACTATTTATGACACAGAAGAAAAATTCTGTCAAATGAATAGCCAAGATGACTGTATTGCAGTATTATTATTTCCTGTGGGGGCCCTTAGGCAATGCGTGAGAGAAAGGAGGCAAAGATTCATTTAAGAGCTTTGTGAACAACCCCACAGTCAAGAAATCCTTCTCTGCGGCTCACCTAATGACCACGATGATTCCATCGAAGATGTTGTAGGGGTTTTTGATGTAGCCGAAGGGCCCGTAGACCAGAATCTTCAGCAGCATCTCCAGAGCGAACAGGCTGGTGAACACGATGTTACTGATCTCCAACGCGTTGGTCAGCTCCTCGGGCTGCAGACGGACAGAGGATCAAAAAAGAGGACACGTTAATGTATTATTTCTGCAATATGTGAGTAGCTCGTATCTCCAAAATGAAATAAATCTTGTTTGAATTTCACTGGATGTGCATGTATAAGAGTCAAGGCTTCCATGACTACAGCGACGACACCTGCTGTGGAGAGCAAATATGCCAATGGCTGAATTCAATTCAAATATGACAAAACTGTCCCTTCACGGTCAAATACAATATGCACACCCAACCTTTATCTCAAACAAGGACACACACATACACACACACTGACATCACAATAACGCTGCTGAATGAGCTTGTACAAAGCTCAAAAGAGAATTGGGCTGCCACCTAGATCAAACAACCGGTGTGCATGTGCAGAAAAACGAACAACAACAACACACCAGAGTGAAATAGCCCATATAGACAGAGAAAAGAAAGGACACAAACCCAAAAGATAAAAGGCGCGGCACATCCCAATACGACATGGTATGTAAATCTATGACGAGCATCCATAATTATCAGCAAGGAGGAAGGAGCTGGTGGGGATGCTGTTATGTGTCTTCTGGCTGTGAGACACCCCAGCCTTTGATCTCTATGCAATAGTTTACACAATCAAATGCCCGGGTCTGTGCCGTTTACATTTATGCACGTGACAGGCTTTTCCTAGCGGTCTCAATGTCCCTCCGTGAGTATAAACAAAGGGGTCGTCCCAGCAGAGCCATTATCCCCAAGAAGAACCAGGAGGTAATGAAATGTAATGTAAACACAACGCGTGTCATTAAGCCTGTCCTGGTGGGCTGCCACTAATCACACCGTGACTGTTTAAGCAGCGATTAGTAAACAAGAGCACGAGAACAGCTCTCCGTGCCGCATTACGGCACCCCGTTGTCTGGAGCTCCAAAAGTACAGTGATTATTGAATGGCTGAAGGGTTATTATGAAATATCATCATCCGGGTCAGGTGGGGAAAAATGGTTGTTCCAACACACCCGCTTAAAGTAATGATTAAAGTAATGATTTATAATGAAATGAAATTACTGTTAGAAGACACAATATTCCTTTGACGAAGACTAAAAGATGATATGATACGACTCGCATGTGTCCATTAAATATGAAGCTATAAAGCAAGCTATAGTCATCAGGCACTACCCCTGTCATTAAAATAGTGATTTGGGTTTAAAATTGAAATAAAAAAAGAATTGTCAAACTTAAAAAAAAGAAAGATATCTAACAGATATGAATTTATCTATATGCAAAACATAGAGCTTCTCTTATACCATCATATTTCACATACATATTTGAGAGTGGCATCGCTCGTTTTATTTAACGCTCTGCCTGCATTGCTGTGATATCACGTTGAGCTTTTCAGTTTGGTGTCGAGTTTTTGGAAAACTTCATTCAGAGCGTCTAGTCAGAACTAGTCAACCCTTACAAGTCATTGCTTAGTATTAAGTCATTGCTCCCTGAAGACTAGAACGCAACAGCGAGCCCTGAGGCACAAAACAAGGTCCAGCAACACCACGATGTAACATTGCACCAGAATTGAGAGCCCGAAGCCTCAAACCTGAACTTCACTAGTTTATGATAATTTACCGCTTGTCTTTGCCTAAAAGACTAAATAAGTTGCAACTGCCATCCAAAATGACCTATATGACCTTGTGATCCATGTGGATTCAGGGAAATAAAAGTACTTTTTACAGATTATGGCCACTGTTAAATAACATTAGCATTGACTATTATTAGGAGAATTCAATGATTACATCCATGGGAATATAATCGGCACCTTAGCACTAATCATATGATGTTCTATAAAATCCAACCAGTAACTAATTGGCTTCAAGGCTCTTCTACGCTTGGCTGTTGAATGTGATGACGGATAATAATAACAAGGAGAAACAGTTATACTAATAATAATGAATTAAATAAGAACGAAATAAGAATGTGGCTGATTTAACATAAGTGAAGTGTCTTTCATCACACTGCTTGTTAAGTCAGTGGAAGCCCAACCATGCAACACATGTGCAACATTGAATGGACAGAGTTGTGCTTTGGCCTCCGGCCTTTTTGTTAAAAAAAATAATTTAACCCAAAGCCACCAAAAACAAGCTTCACCCCGTTTAATCTGTGTGTCTCTTCTGTCCGTCTCCGGCTTCACAGGCACGGACCAATCCGCTCCCTTGATCCCGCTGCTTCATTGTGTCCATTGTGATGGCAAATCCTTCATGAACGCAGACAAGCGCATTTCGACATTAAGAAAAGTTCAAAGGGTACAACAACAAATGCCATCGGGGCCCTTGGGACGTCTGTGTGTTCCTTCCGAATGAAGAACCTCACACGCATGTGTGAAAGGCAGAGACACTCGTGGAGGAACTAGTCTAAGCTCTACTCGCACACTCCTTACAATGTATCCGCACAAAACGTAGTGTACAAAGCCCTGCACAGACTCACACCTCTAGCTGAGCCTTTGGACGCACACATCACCACACAGTTTTTTAATAGATGCGATTGATAAGCCAGAACGCGAAGAACGTTTTTTATGGGGTGAGACTTGGACTGCAGACATCTGGCCTTGAGGTCCAGGTCGTTATTTTCCCCCCACTGTTTCTGCCCTGCTATTGTTCCAGCTTGTATATTCGACATTCCTCAGACACCATGCGAGATTTCAGCGAGGGAACGTGGCAGTAAAAAGCCTTTCTCACACATCGAAAAATGCTCAGAGGAACGTTAAAAAGACGGCGCTGGCAAAGGTTCAAAGGCGATAGCTTATCAGACTGGAGACATGACTAAATCAACAGGCGGCCTCTGAGGAGCCTGAACTACCTGGAGGGAGATGAAATGTGTCCACGTGCTGGGGGAGCGAGAGAGACACCCTGGCTCTTCTCTCTGCCGGGTAACGAGGCTGCAGCAGCGTTTAGGGCGTAAAGTGTGCCATATGAGGAATAGTGTAATGTGGTTAGTGCTAATGTGATGTCGCCTAATCTGATGTGGTCCAATCTAAACGGGAAGCTCGGCCCGGACTGTAGATGATGCAGCGCAGTGTGTGTGTGTGCGTGCGTCTGCTAAATCAAGTGGTTTGCCCCGGAGTTCTATAGAAGAGGATTTTTTCGAGCATGAAATGGAGGATGAAACACTCACAATTATGGCTGGTTGCTTGTGATTGAAGAAATAAAGCGATTTGTCCAACACCTTAATATATTCACGGCAGATCTACACAGAGATGATGCTACTAATACGGTATTTACCAGGTTTTCCACAAGGGTTCTGTTTTAGGGCCCATTCTCTTAGTAACATGCATTGCATTGCATTGCATTGCATGTGAAATTAAAGTAGCTTTATTTCACATTCTGAACTTTAATTTAGTTGCAAACAACTATTGCTTACGTAAAGATGTAGTGGGGATGATCTATGTGTGTGTGTTGTTTACTGATCTTCCACTTGCTTTTTATTTACTCAGCCGCATGTGAGCGTGCTCTCTCTGGTCAGCTCTGCAGCGCTCTCATCCAGCGACCACAGCCAATAGCGGCCCTTCGTACCAACGATGTCGTTGCTGGCGAGTTGCACCCTCGCTCCCTCTTAGGTGAACATTGTTAGCTGTCAGCACTTTTTCCCTATTCTGCAGTGTTAGCACATTTAGCTGCAGGCCGCCAACGTGAGAATGGGATGTTGAGAGCCGTTGAGAGGCAATTAAAATGCTCTCAATTTCAGATCTTGGCCCTTCAATGATTATTTGTTAGGATATTGTGCAAGACACGGGAGGAGGAATCAGCCAGTGTGAATTTCAACAATTACTTTTATTTGCCAAGAATATCTGATATCTGTCATCTGTTGATCAGCAGTTCATTTTAAATAATACATAACCGTATTTATAAATGGATTACGTTAACAGACTTTTTCACTGTTATGGAAACTCTTTTTGGACCCAACTAGTATTTATTTTTTTATAATGTGCTTATTGGGTGAACTGGATAGTATGTGTTGTTGTGATTTGTCCACAAAGATTCACTCTTTATAAATTCTGCCATTTCAAAACACTCCCACAATAACTGCCGGTTGTCCAATGACAAATTGTCTTTCTCAGCTTTAAATATTAATGAATAGTTACAAGCAATTTAAAAGCTGAATACAAAGATGTGGCATTGTAGATTCAGAGCAAGAGAGGAGAACTTGTTAAATTCAGGTAGATTTTTTTTCTCCCTTCTACTGAACCAGGAAATAACTGAATGCAACATTTGATCACGTCAGTCTTTTTGATTCCATGTCTGGAAAAGTCACCCCAGTGAATCGGGATTAGCTGCCGTTGTTTTTTTGTCGACCACGTCTCACCATTGTACAAATTGGAAAAAACAACTTTTCTTAGACCTGTCTTGGAAGGAGGCCACTGCCTTGAGATGCCAACTCTGCATTCTTCACACGGATGAACGCTGGGCTAACGTTGTCTCGGCTTGCAGAAGGAAAGCTATACAAAAAGGCTTTTCTTATTGTGTCTCTGGGTTTGACAAGGATGTGCATGTGTGTGTGCATATTAAAGCTTCCTAGAGACCTTTAAACACAGACTACTTTACATCAACTTCATAACCTGTGGAAATGAAATACGCCAGCCCCTTTAACGAATGATAATCTCAGGCTTTACAATAACTGAAGCTAATCCTAACTCCCAAATTTAAATGTCAGGGTGTTTTCAATTTGAAAGGGGCAGAATGTCAGGCATAAAACCAGACATTCAATTAAACCACAACGACCTCAGTTATGTCTGTTCATTACACGTAGCTTCAGGAGAGATTTCCTCTTAACCAGCTTAACCACTGCTTTGGTTACACACAAAAACCAAAAAAGTAACAGCAATCCCATCAACCTCAGTTGAAACTTGTGTTTTATGTTAAGCACATTTGTATTTAGCATGCGAATGTTGAACATATTGCACTACAAATTCTTTCTGAGCACGATAACATACTGATTTCCCAACAGACTGTTGGGAAATTTAACAATAGAGACATAACGAC